AAGATGAACAACACGAGCCATAGTTGATGCTTGACGTCATTATTTTCTTTAAATGAATATTCATCGAGTCTTAATGCAGAAGAATGGCAAGCATCCACACCACATACAAAGTTGCATCGATCTTGCTTCGCTAAACAAAAGGAGTAATATAGCAGATATATAGTCATTTCTATTCACATATTATGAACTTTTATAAATTACTTAAAGGATATTGATAATGTCACAAGGACAAATCAATTGATGAGTTTGACCAAGTTCACTGAAAAGCAATTTAACAGCATGAGAAAGGATACCAGGAACTGTAGTGGTAGCCAATCTACGCCAATACCTCATGATGTGACTAATGTTTCCACCCTTTTTTTTTCCTGAAATTCTTGGTCTTCTCTAAGGATGCAAAACTTTGGTTCAAATTAATATTATTATAATTTCTGATGTTCTTTAAATCATATGTTCATGTTTATGGTCACCAATGCTTTTACTTTCACTTCAGAGTAGATGGTGCTTCTCCTACAAATTTAATGTAACTTCTTTTGTGAGATTTGATGTTGTCTTTCTCCTTTTGTTTGAAGTCATAATTTTTTAATATTTGAGTATTAGAAAAAAAAGTTTGTAAATTCAATGAAGTTTGTTTTTTTAAATTTATTTTGAGCGCAACAAATATAAGGGTTGTATCAAACTCAACTAGCAAATTACAAGGAGGACAATTTAGAATTGTAATTAAAGAAATAAATAAAACCCAAATCCTCATTAAAGGCCAATAAGAACGACCACGAGGATTTCATCGTATACACATTAAGACGGAGCATGACCAAAACTATTCATCAATCTAAGAGATTTGAAGAGTAAAACAATAAAGAGGCAAAATAATTTCAGAAGAAATAAGAGATGGATTTTTTACAAGGAACCCATCAGAAAAATGAAGGAAAAAAGAAGACGAAGAAAGCCTACAATATAAAGAAAATAAGGAGAAAATAAAAATATTCATTTTTTTAAAAAAGGGTCAGGTAAATTAGCCATTACACATGGTCAGATCGGGTCATTTTGATTGCTTTTCTCAGGAGCCTCGCAAATAATATAGTTAGGGGGCTTTAGAGATATTAACTATACTTATGGTCTGTTTGGAAAGCCACCCGGTAATTGTATTTGATGCAATTACTAGGGTAGTAATTGCACAGCCTAGTAATTACACAACATAATAATTATGACGACATGTTTGTTTGTCATAACGTGATTACAGTGTAATTATAAGCGTATTGTTTGGTTGCACAAGTGTAATTACACAGTTAGATTAAATTTTAAATGAAGTAATTATCAAAACTTAAAAGTTAATATAATAAACATATTCATATAAATATTTTTTTAAAAGTATAAATGATATTAGATTTGATATTTAAGATGCATATTTTTTCTTGAATATAAATTTATTAGTAATCATATATTTATAACTAATATTGTAAAAATAATTTATATAAAAACATACATTTTGTAAGAACATCATGAAATGCATACTTGATAAAATAAATTAATATTTATAAATATATTGTCATAACACTATTCAAATATTTGAACTAATCTGTCAATTCTAACAAAAAAAATGAACAACATGCAATGTGAAATAACAAGTCAATACTATTAAAATAAGTAAATTGAAACCACAAAATATAACACAGTCTCAAAATCAACAACAACAACAACCATAATAACAACAAGCCTAGTGAAATCCACAAGTGGGGTCTGAGAAAAATAAACTGTATGCAGACCTTAACCCTACCAAATGAAGGTAGAGAGGTTGTTTCCGAAAAACTCTCGGCTCAAAAGAAGTGGAAATAAAGCAATGAAGAGACATTAGCAACAACTATGTAATTAGACATGTGCACAAGTGGAGATACGTGCAACAACATATATCTAAGAATACGACACTATAAAAATAGATCTAGTCTTGCTGAAAATAATGACACAATGTGAAATAGCAAGGGGCTAAACGCCTAGACATAGCAAAATACAAGACTAGTACTAATATTACTGGGATGCCCGGACGAAACTCTACACTGTCTGCCAACATAATTTCAAAATCCAAAAAATAAAATAAAATAGCTTAACATATATCAAATTCCAATATAACAAAAATAAGCCTCAATACAACACAAGATTAGGAAGCATAATAAGTTTATAACCTCATTCAACAATGAAGTTCTACTTTAATGGCATCACTCATTATATGCCATGTTTGTTAATGACTCATTATTTCTAATATTAGGAGGCGTAGTTTCAAAAATTAGAATAATAACGCAGTTACACTACATGAACAAAATAAAATAAATAAGAAATAAAATATACGAGTAATTACATGGAATCACAAGGAGTAAAGGTAGAGTAATAAAAGATAAATAATGTACAATAAATAATATATTTTAATTTTAAAAAAGAAACTTAAAAGTAAAAAATTAAAATAAAAAGAAATTAAAATAACAGAATTAAATACTTATAAAGAAAATAAATTAAAATAAAAACAAAAAGAAAAGAAATTAGGAAGTAAAAAATTAAAATAATGAAAATAAAAAATTATAAAAAAATAAATTAAAATAAAAACAAAAAGGAAAGAAATTAAAAAGTAATATTGTAATTACCACCAATTCTCACCTTCCCCTTGAGAATTGGAGAGTGTAACTACACCTCTCCAATTACACCAAATTTTACGTTGACCAAGTAATTAGTTGGTCAGACAAACATGTCAAACTGTGTAATTACACCCAAATCTGATTCCTATGTGGCTTTTCAAACAGCTCTTAAAGTATGAAACCATAAAAGTTGAACAGTTTAAGGGTTGTTTGGTAGAATGATGGGACATCTCATAGGAATAGTTATCTCACCTTCTATATGGGATAATTAATTCTACTATTTTAATGTAAAAGTTATTCACAAATTAGCTGATAACCCAAACCAAATATATAAAGCTCGGAAAAAGAAAGGTGATATGGCATATCTTTTTGGCCAGCTTTACCATTTATCTTTATCCTCATTTTTTTGGGGCTTTTTAGTCTTCTTTAATTTTGATTTGAACAGGAAACCTATGGCTACCGTATGGGTTTATCTCTCCTTAATGCTATCGTATTATTTCTTCCCTTATTAATGTGCCACTTATTCTTATTCTTCTTCATAACTGCCACTTACATCTCTCTTTATAATTTTAAGTTTTTGTTTTTCTAACGGACTTTCATAATTACCTTCATAAATATCAAGAAACTTTTCTGAACTTATATAAGCGCATATTCTAACACATAAATTGCAAGATTCAAATCTTGATGTATGATTTTGCTCGCTTCAAAATTAGTCATGTTTATTTCCATTTCCATATTTAGATCTTTAAGAATGGTCATATGTGTGTAAAGGAGTCGAGGCAAATAAAGGTTTTCGACTATGCGAACGAGGATGGTGCCTTCTGAAGACAGTTGTATTTTAGTTGTCTCTACTTCGATTGATAGTGACGTCAGGGGTCTATGTTGGCTTAATACGATGAAGACAGACGGAAGTAAAGGGCGTTTCAATGTGTGGCGGAATAAGAAAATGAAGTAGAAGAGAAAGAAGAATGAAGTAGAGGGCACAATGAATGTGATCATAAGAAGAAAATTAAGTATTTAGGGTTGGTTAAAATTGAGAGGAGAGAGAGAGATGGTGAATTTGCAGATTAATTAACAAAGAGAATAAAGTACGAGAAAAGATGGAAGAGTTTGGAAAAGAATTGGGATGTTTCTTTTTGTCGTCATCGTAGGATAAAGATGAATTATTTTCCTTTTTCAATATTCATTTATTTTTCTTTTCCATTCAATTCTTGAATTATGAGTAAATTAAGAATTTCCCTTTTTGCATGGTTTATTATCCATGTAATCGTTATCCATGATTTAAGTTTCGCAAATCTTACAAATTTGAATGAATCAACGACATTCGCGTCCGCTTAACAAATTATAAGGTAAGTTACCTTACGTAATGAACTCTACTGTAATGTTTATTATTTTTTATATGTTTGATCCCTTTTCTTTTATTGTTTTCAAATTTAAGATACCTAGAATTAAATGCAAGAGAGTCAAGATGAATGTGTAACGACTGAAGATTTGATTCTATACTAAACTAAGGGATTAACGCCATTCCTTTTACCTTTAAAAACAAATACATATTAGCCACCAGTAGTAATTTTACATTATTATTTCATTAGTTTTTAGCTTTTGTCTTTAGTTCCAACATGCTAATTTAAACGGGTTGTTCCATAATTAAACTGAAGTGTTTCCTCAAATAATTTCAGTCAAAGAGATATTAAAAGTATCATTAAGAGGTGATAGAATCATAAAAGAATATTAGATTAGTATTTTTCCTATGTTGAAAATATGATATTCTAAATTAGTTAGCTATATTTTGGCCTCAGATGACATGGCACTACAGTCTCCTCTTTTGAACATATAGAGAATAAAAATAAATAGACTTATCTGATTACTTAAATGGAATCATGGGAGGAAAGATATATAGAAAGTAACAGAAAAAGAAAAAAAAAAGAGGAGAAATAAAGGGTTAATACATAGAAGGCTGGTGGATATTTAAAAATGGTAAGAATAGCTAACAAAAGAAAGAATATAAATTTTGGAATTTGACAGAAAATAAGGAGGACAAATAAAGGAGTTATTTATCTGGTTGAAAGTGGAATTGATGTAAGTAAAGAGAGAGAAATTAAAGAAATAAAAAATACTAATAAAATACAGAATGCCTTAAAAGAAGAAGAAAAAAGGGAATAACGCTCTAAAGTTTACATCCTCCAATTTTTTAAATTAATATTTGTTCTCTTTTTTATTATTTTATTCTTATGTTTTCTTATTCATATTCTCAAATATTAATTTAGATGAGTTGTTCTTTGCATATTTAACTTTAAATTAAAGGTATTTTTGGGTATTAACTCTTCTTCTCTTTATTTTTATTTTTTTAAACTATGTTCAGCTACAAGTGAACAATGTGGATGTTGTACATAACTTTTTTTTCGAGGGCAGCTTTTGAAATCGAGTTCTGGCGCCATTGCCACTCCTCACTCCTTCACAACCCACCAAGAGAAAAGTCAATTCCGATGTTATTCTTCTCTCCAAAACCCTAACCATTAAACTGGAATGAGGAATTTCTTCAAAAGTTTCTGAAGAAACATTAGAAAGGACCAAAAACCCTAGATTTAACAAGCCAATATGGAGTACCAAAAGAAGGTGGTATGCCCGGAGAACGAAGAGTTGGCAGCGTACATGTGGAACAAGAAGCAAGAAATGGCTGAAAACCCCAAAGGGATTTCGGATAATATCTTAAAAACTCTTCACAAAGCCTATACCAATCTCTGCAATTCCAAGACCCCTATTAAGACTCTCAAAGAGTTTTCTGAGATCAAGTGAGTAGAATCTTTAAGTTAACATTTAAGGTTTTTCGCGCTTAACTCATTATATATTTAAAGTTATGGTTTCATAAGTTAAAATTTATTGAAGTTTGAGTGGTTTTCACATATATATTTATGCGCCATGTAAAAAAATACTTGTTTTATTGAACCCTTAAAAATCTATGCTACATCAGACACTTCTTTCAATTGGGATAATTATTTGACTTACTTTCAATTATAGGGGTGTTGGAAAATGGATTTTGAGGCAAATGAAAGGTTTTTTTGAAGCTGATGATCCTGGTGCTTCATCATCCGAGGAGAGTGATAACTCCGGTGAGAAAGGTAAATCTTGAATTACTTTTTTGTATCTAGTTTTTATTCTCTGCTTGTATCATTGTCTGATCACTGCACTACTTAGAGCAAAAAGGTGGAGTCTTTGTAGTACTAGTGGATTGTATAAAGGTGGAGTCCTTGTAGTGCTAGTGGACTAGTGGAGTATATATTGACAGAATTAGGCTTACGTTCCTTTTGTCTTCTCAAATGCTTTTGCTTGTTTGGGTAGCTGATTTATTGATCACATGAGTTTTTTCAATACAATGATTGACCACAGATGCAGCTTATGAACTCAACAATTAAGTTAACGGCCAACTTAGCTTACATTTGTAATGCTCGATAACTAGACCCATTGATAATTGGACTAATTGATCGACTATCCGGGTGGTTTTCAGAAATAAGAACATCAATAATTGAGTAAAACTTAACAATACAAACCTTTGTGTACGTGGATTTGAGTGGTATTTAGTTAATTAATTTTTTTATCCATCTTTTTTATATTCTGATGGAGGATATGGATGTTGGATCAATTGGAAGTTGCTAAATTCTTTCCCATATCTCCAGGGAAGAGAAATAAGGGAACAAAGCGTTACATGCCTCAAAAGAATTCTGTGGCCTATGCCTTACTGATCACACTGTACAGGTGAATGGCTAATTCAATGCAGTCTGCTTTGCTTCGTTCTAGTAAATTGTTGTTTCAGCAATGAAAATGTCATGATTCTAGGTGTACAACAAACGGTGAAAAATTTATGCATAAGCAGGAGCTTATTGATGCTACTGAAGCTAGTGGTCTTTCTCGTGCACCTGTTGGGTACGGCTGTCGCTGCTTAACTTGGTTTAGTATTCGATTTAATGTTCTCCCTGCAATTGTACTAAGTGAAGTTTTGACTCTTTCGTCCATGATGTGTGCCATGCATTAGACCTGAGAAAGGAAAAGGAAAAGCTGGACAATTTGGCTCGCCAAGGGACTGGTACAGCGGATGGAGCTGCATGGGGAAGTTAATAGACAAAGGACTTGTTGCTAAGTCTAGCTGCCCTGCAAAGTATGCTTGCCATGTCTTTTATTTATGCTCTTTCTCCAGTTAACTGATATTCGTACATTTCAAATAAATTTGGCCATTTCATTTCCTGCTAGATAGTTTTATGTGCATGTTAGGGAAATGTCAGCTTGCTTTTAAGATATGAAAGTTAAAAAGAACATATGGATTATCTCCCTCAGTTTCTGTTGCACATAATCCCTTTGACTTTTAAAGTATACACAATCCTCCTCAAAGTTATGAGCTAAAATATACTGGTTTTACTAAAGTGAGAAAATACCCAATGAAATATCTTCCCAAATTCTTTTTTTTTTTTTTTTT